AGAGGATGCCGAAAACAACTTTACTATATCAATTTAGTGTTACAATTGATAGATATATATTTATTAGAAATACATATTACGGAGATGAAAACTTTTCGTCTCTAGTATTTTTCATGGATACTTGCGGAGAAGTCCTCCTTAAACAGTCTAAAATCTTATGACATATGACAAATCGAAGCTGAGTACATATCATAACATACATTAGAAATTCATTAGACAGTTTTGTGTTACTTATATTCATTATTAAAAACCACTCATTTGGAAACAAATTATTATAAAACATAGTTTTTTTTGGATATTTTTCTAGTTAATTTGACACGTCGATTTAAGTTTTACATATAAATTGAACATTTTAACATTTTAATTATTTTTACGAAAATAGTTTTTAACCATTTTTTTAGTTTAATTTGAAATCTTAATTTAACTTTGAATTAGAACTTCATGTTAAATTAATAAAATCAATATAATTATATTGATAATTCAAAAAATGTATTATTAATATGATAACATTTTATATTTAGTAACATATTTAAATCAATAAAATAGATATATAGGGTTTCAAATGCATATGATGAAAATAAAATTTTACCAAATACTTGTAGCCCAACGATATAATGTGTGATGGAAATATTCCCCTCAGCAAGAGGTTTGTTGAATGTTCAAGTCTTATCGTGGACAAATGAGTATATTTAGGAGTAGTATTGTCTGTTAGTTGGTTAGTTAGTAAATTAGTTGTTCTAAAAGAATAATAGATAGATGATCATCTACAACTTCCCTCGCTTCCCACACCATTTCTTAATAAAATAGTTAAAATAAATAAAAAGTTAAAAACTATGGTTAAAATAACATTCCATTAATAAAAATAAAAGATCAAATCAAAAAGAAAACTAATTATAAAATACATAATTACATTTCGTTCCCAACTTTATTTTGTGATTTTATTCTTGCGATTTAGGAGCGCAATGCTACTCTGTTCAAATGATCATGCAACTACAAATCTTTATCCCTTTGTTTTTCACGCATCAAGCAAAACTTTTGATCCATGATATGCATTTTCTTGTTCTTCCTCCATCGTTTCAATTGTGATGTTGTTGTTTTCTATCATTGTCTTCATCTTTTTCACAACTATTAAATTTGATATATTCTGAAAAATGATATCTAGTAGTTCTAAACATGTTTCCATGAGGATAGTGATGCCATTTTCTTCCCTTTCCATTGAGGTTTTTTGCAGCTTTTGAAAGTGAAACCCCTCTTCATCTACATGAATGTCTCCAACATATTTGCTTCTTTTGAAAAGTTGATTTGTGCCCTTGCCAATGTGAGATTTATTTTCATTCCATTTTTTGCATACTTCTCCTGTCTTTGTTTTTTTTACTAATCAAATTATTCTTGTACTTTTGTGTTGGGGATGACATCGCAGTTTCTTCCCGGACTTGTGTGTTGTGTTGGTGTTCGTCATCAAAATCTTGGTTTAAGGCTTACATTTGGCTAGATGCGGGTTTGAGTTTTGGAAGGGATTAAATATTCATTAATATTGGGGTATAAAAAATATTTGTATAAATATGATGTATCACACATTGCATTAATTGTGAATACTAGTGTAACTTTCAGTTCAACTAAGGAAAATAAGAGGAAGAGCATCTAGTCCATCATTTTTGCATTCAAGTCTCTCCATCGAGCACTCTCACACCTTTTGGACCTTTTGTGAGTTTCAAGTTCATTGCTTTATGAGTCCCTATGTCACACCTCCGAACCGGAACGACGGAAACGTTCGAGGGCAGATGACTTCATGTACAGTATCATAACAATTGAATATAAATGAAACAAGCATCACAACCATTGCATTGAATGTTTAATAAGTTACATTGTACTCAAAATAATGTTTACATGACATCAATATGCTTGTGACAAAATAAATAACGTGATGTGACGACGTCCCATGCACCAAAAGATAGTCACTTGTGGTTAACTGTTTACTGATTTCTTGAGAATACAAGTGATTTTGAAAAGTGTCAACATTTAAGTTGGTGAGTTCATAAGCATTTTGTATGAAAAGGGTTTGTAACTGTTTCATGAATATGATAGAGTATACTTCCAGAAAATACAATATTTTCTTTAAAATGAACTATAGGTCTTAATCCAAAGAAATTGTATGTAATGTTGTACTGAAAAGTAATGTTTATGATGTTTTATCTTTATATAAAACAAATTGGATGTGTGTTAACCCATAAATCAAGCGTTATGTAGATACCCTATGCGAGTTATTACAACCATGCTAATGCGACAAGTTTCCTGAAACGACGTGCTTCGGACGTCGGTAACTGGTATGATATTTGTCACCCCAGACCTGCCGGTCTAACTGTAGTTAACAATCTAGGTGCGGGGTTCTCAATCCCGTATAGATCTATACAAAAGTGGCACGCTCTCCCTCCAGGAGACTCTGGTTATAATGTAGGTCTTAGTTGTATACTCAGATAGGTACGGTGAAGCTGAAACTCTCATAACCAGTATCAATCGATTTACATGCACTGAAAACTCCTTTTACTTGTAAATGTAATAATTATACCTTTAAATAATTATATGTTTCTTCTGAAATGATAGCGTAGTTTTGTGACTCCTAAACTATACCAAATATGGTTTACCATGTTTGTTTGTCAAGAACCTAAATATATTCATCTATATAAATACATAGTAGTCATCTTGTCTATTTTCTGAATGTAAGTTTAAACATCATAACTTTGGGTTGTAACCCTCAAAGTAGTGAAATAAGTAGAATGTACTCCTTTTGGTTAGAAGACTATATTTGTTAAAAAGCTTCTAGAAACCATGTAGCTCCACAAATCATAATTTTCTCATGTTTTTCGTAACATAGAGCATGTTTTATATTTTTGTTTGTTTTGCATTTGAAAAAACTAATATAACACAAATATTTGTATAAACTAGCAAAAAAATCATAACACATGCAGATAATACTTTATACTTTTAACATAAGGATATATCATGCAAGTATAATAAACAATTTTTGACTTGTATCCCCCCCTCCCTAAAACATAAAACTCTCGAAAATTATGGGGGTATGAACACACCTTGAGTGGATTTGTGGGTTGTTTGAAGAGTTTATGTGAAGATTCCAAGCCTAAAACACTAGTATGTGTTTGATGAACTTCTTGAAGATTATATTACCCTAAGGATGTCAATACACACTAAGGTGTGTAAAAATGATGAAATTTACATAAAAATGTGTAGAATCGCTAGAGGTTCACGAAATTGCTTACCAAAATTCTAAGGACCACTTTGATAATGATGATCTTGGGAAATTTTTGGCTCTTGTTCTTGAGGGAAATTTTTTGAAATATGAAGAAGAAATAAGGTAAAGATAATGAAAGAAAGAGAGATGTTGAATGAAGGATGGCCTTCTGGTCGTGGTTTTATAGAGAAAAATGAATGGATGGATCCTTGATTATTTGAAGTGTTATTATTGGGGTTGCATGGATACGTACTGGGTAAAGTGGTGTAAAGCTGAATCATTCTTTCCAAGGTCATTTCTAATCATACATAGAAAAACCCACTGGAAAGCCCTTAAGATGACCGAAATCACCCTATTCCCTTGGTGATTTCGGTCCTAACCCCTTCACCCATTGAGTTTTCGACCTTAGTGGGCTTGGATCTTGGAGTTTTCGGTCCTAGGGTCACTACTAGAAAAAACACCTTTTACGACGCGCAATGCGTGTCGTAAAACGCTCAGACGACGTGCAAATGCGTGTCAAGGAAGGCCCTGTCATAACGAGAGACGACGCGCTTTTGCGCGTCGTCTATTTACGACGCACATTTATGACACACATTTACGACGCGCAGTTATGACACACAATGTGTATCAAGGAAGGCCCTGTCATAAAGGAAGACGACACGCATTTGTGTGTCGTAATCTTACGACAGGCATGTTTATGACACGCAATGCGTATCAAGGAAGCCCCTGTCATAAAGGAAGACGACACACATTTTTACGTGTCATAATTTTAAAGGTTTTTAAAATTATATATTTTTGATAGATTTACAAATTTTCAAATTAAATAACACATTAAAAGTATCATAATACAAAATAAAATACCATAAAGAATAAAGATAATTCATTGCACTAATATGTCAAATACCAATAATCATTCCAATAGTAAGTAATGTAACACATTACTAATAATACATAATATTTATTATAGAAAACAAAACATGTAAAACATTAAAAGAAATCCATGACTAAATTCTCCTTTGACAATCTCCTTTGACAATTTCTTTTCAAAGAGAATAACCTAAATGCATCAACTTTGAGAGGCTGCAGGGCATGGAAGGAGGTGGAAGGAGGTTGCTAGAGCTGTCAGAACCTGCGCAGGGCAAATCAGTAACTTAACATGCAATACAATACAAGATAATATGATAGAGAAAAGAGAAAAGTGAATACCCACCTGAAAGTTTGCACCTTCAAAAACCGGATCAAGGGTACTTAGGTCAAGCAGCCAATCAATGAATAACTTGAAATACGGTCTGGGGTTGAATGATGTACATCATGAACCAACACAACACAACAGATATGATAGTTACCTTGAATTGCAAAGTGCTGTTAATGGCATCACTTATAAGCTCCCAGTTTGGACCCATATCATGAACCAACACAACAAGTGCCTGAGGAGACAACACACATTTTATAAACAACACTTATTTCTTAACAAATATAATACATAAAAATTTAGTGAAAAAAGTTTGACCTGGTCTTCAAATAACGACCATGGACTTCCTGGCCCTGACTTCGAAACAAATATCATTGAGCAAGAAATAGCAACATACATTAATCTTTTTACCAATATAGACAATATACTTTACTTTTCACCCATATTTACCTCAAACTGAAGCAAATAAGATTCAATTTCTTTTCTGTAGGCCTCAATCGCGTAAGGTGGAACTGTATAAAAGAGGTTGTCCTGCATTACAATTAAACAAAGTTGTTATGAAACCAGTTAAACAATTACAGATTAATGGAAGTTCAGTCATACAATTACAGATTAATGGAAGTTCAGGTACTTTTATTGTCATGAGATTTGATGGTTGGTTCTTGGGTTTTATATAAAAACAAGATATTCCTAAGAGATGGAAAGAGAGCCCTAGAGGACCATGTCATTTTACATGTGTCGTGTCTCTCTTTGATCTAATAAGAAGTAAGGCATGAAATATATAAAGTGATTATACAATACGAAGGGACAAGCAAAATAGATTTCTATGTGTGTGATAGAAAAGCCAGCTCATCTGGAAGTGGAAGCAATATAGATGTCTATGTGTGTGATAGAAAAGGTTAAGAAAGAAAGAGTTTTAAAGAAATAAAGAGTATCACGATCAATCATCATATTGTTGAAGGTTTGATCTCACATCAACTTTAGTTGTTATAGTTTACCAATTTAAAAAATAATAGTCACTTTGCTTATTGATTTCTATATGTTAGCAAAGTTTTTCTTTGAGGGTATTTTTGTCATTGTACTTAACTGTTTTGTTTCTGTTTACAGCTCTACAACTACTCAAGGGAAGCGCTAAGTCCATAACTTACAATGACAGATTAACCCAAATGACCATCCGGCTGGTAAAAACTTACTCTTTTAAACCAAACTTGTTTTCACCTGTGTTAAAATTAAAAATATTGTTGATTAAAAAACTACATTCTTATAGGTTTTTATGCCTTTAGTGATTACAAATATACAAATAATTTATCCTTACATTTAGTCCAATCTAGAGCATATGTTTGTTGCTGAAACTGCCCTGAGACGTCTATGATGAATCTAGTAGTAAGCATAAAATATGTAAAATAACTCTCATTTTCATTGTCCATGTAGCTGAACTTATTGACATTGTATATCTATAGAATAGAAAGGATTCCAGGAATGACATACATCCATAAGTTTGCAAGTATCTGCTGTAGGTGCTACATAAAAAACTATCTTTTTATAGACCTACTTGTGATGTGGCAATCTCGGGTCTTGGGTGGATAACAGTTGAACCTACTGGTCTTGGTCAAACGGTCAAAGAAGTGGGGGTCAAATTTAGTAGAAAAAGGATATGGAGATTTCATTAGATGTTCATGTTCCTAAACCTGTTGAGATTTTTGTCCCGGCCCCAATTCCTATTGGGAAGGTGGGAGGAGAATGGTATCAGTATAGAGATTTGACAGAAAAAGAAGAAGAAACGAGACCCAAGTGGCACTTTTGAGAACCATATATTTGCTATATGAATATAAATGTACAAGTGTAACCATTTTGTATTATTGTAAAACCAACCTTAGTTTGTTGAATCTGCAAGACCATCTCCAAAATCATCTTCGTTTATAGTAGCCTGAAGAGATAAAATTTCACAGCACGCACTCGGTAAGAATTGCAATCCAGGTCAATGTGAGCTTTTTTATAGGAAAAAAGTTTTTTTACTGAAGTAAAAATGTGAGCTGAAGTAAAAAAACTTTGAATTTCCTCCCAAAGAATCCTGAAATCAAGCAATCTACTATATTAGTATTACATGCCAAAGTTTTTTTATAGGAAAAAAATATGTTGGAATGACAATCAAGGATAAATATATCTTCAGTCATCAAATCATCCTGGCTGAAGTTGTATATCTCAGTGACCTGCATCAATGATATAATTAATTTATTAAATTCGGTTAAAATGGGTAATAAAAGAAATTCATATGAAAGAGAAAATTGACCTTGAGATCTCCTGAACCAGCAAAGTTTCAGAAAAAAGAAATAAAAAAATTAGTATTTGTGTTAGGCTGTTGGCAAGTAACCAAAAGAATTGAATCCAGCATAAAATTTGGTGTTTTTCTTAAACCTTTTCAAAATGTGCATGTGAACAAATGGAGATCACTTTCAACATCTCTAGCAATTTTCTGACATGGGTATTCAGATTTTCCACCTAAAATTTCCCAAAATTGTTTAGACTCTGAACCCTCCTTTTGTAGATTGGACTGCATATTTGGCTGCAAGTATTGCGCATAAAAGTAAATCATAATAAGAAAACATGAACAATTTAATACATTGTAATAATCATTAAAACTTATTTTTACTGCAGAGAGAACAAAAAAATCAAGAGGTTTTCAAACCTTAATAACATCCAGTTGCCTCTCAACAAGTTCTTGTAGCTCAGGAGTTGTAAGATTTCCAATCCATGTGAAGAGAGAAGAACCACTGTGTAGTGTGTAACAATAGGATGAGTTCAATGATGAAGCCACCCAAGACAATTAGAAAGTAAATTAAACAATGAATAAATAACAAAATCTTATAAAGTAAACACAAAAATCAAAGAAGCAAAGGACTTACAGGTTCAACTTGGATTGCTTGCATGTTTTCTGGTCCATACCCTTGAACTCTACATAGTGCAACCCCATCTTCTTTATAAGTTTCATCCGGAAGTTCCTTCTCTAAGATATAATTCTTGTATCCGTCACTTAAACCCCCCTAAGAATTCCATAAATAAATGCAAATGATCAACAAAGATTTAATCTCTAATCTATGTTTTTTAATTTTTATAATAGCATCCGAGTCGAAGCTGTTGGGTTTTGAGCATTCTAACACTCCTAAGTGTACATGCAACCCTAAATACCTTGGATCTATGTTTTCTCTATTATACATGCAAATATGAATATCCAAGGTATTATCCTAACTAGCATACCAAAACATTGATACTAGGGTAATAAAATAGATAGAATACATACCTTGTTGTTGTTGCTTGACTCCATGAAGCTTGAGAGCCTAGTGCCCTAAGTGTGACACCTCAAATGGTTCACACAACATCATATGCACTTGTAAGGACTTAGAAAGAAATGATACTTCATGAAATCGGCTTGCCCTTTCCTTCACACACTTGTGGCCGATTTTTCCCAAGAATATGATCTTTATATAGCGTCACAATTAGGGTAAACCCTAATTGTCATGGCTTTCCATTTCCTTGGATCCATGGGTTCAAATATACCATGGAGCATCCATGGAGCATCCTATGGGTTTTAGCCCAACTTGATAATCCATGGAGTCTTAGCCCACTATACAAGTATGGATGATTTACACAATCAACCCATATATTTAATTAGTCTTCTTTTTGATCACTTAATTAATTCTAGATTAATTCTTGATCAATACTAATTAAATAATCTTATTAATATATTAGAACCTATAATATATTAATAAACCTTAAGTGTTATTTCTCTCATTTTAGTCTATCCAAATGCATGATGCCATGCAACCCAAATGGACCATGCCAAGTCGGGTCAAGTACATACCAATTATAGTTATGGACTTAGACACTAATCCAACAGTCTCCCACTTGGATAAGTCTAAAACTATTATTGCGTATGACTTCAAGAACCAACGTGCAATCGTAGCTCTCAAAAGCCGCTATCGAACTCTGACCTTGTGGATGAACTCTGACCTTTGTCAATGACTTGCCCATTAGATAAGGGATCATATATTCCTCCATTCTAGATATCATATGAACTGAGACATGGATTATAAATCATTCTCTCTGTCCATTTGTTGTTTCCCGATTTCCGATGTATGACGACTGACTAATTGAACAAATCAAATCAGTCCAGGCCCAGCCGAGCACTTACATTTGTGATCACTAAATCATCGAGGGGCCCACAGATATCGCTTTTATCCCGAAGGTAAAAGGAATGGACAAACTTCGAATCATATGGCTTGTTCTACTACTTGTTGAATCATACACAAAAGCACGTTTTATAACATCGAGTTACCAATGCGTTTTCGAGCAATCAATGTACAACCAACTCATAGTAACAACTCATATCTCTAGGTTTGAAGAATATAAGATATTATCATCTCATGATCACTCGTGATAAAATCCATGAAGTGATTCAAATGAGCGCGGGTTGAATCCAATACTCAGTACTTATGAGCACTCATGAGTGTTGTAGCCCCTTTGTCCAACATCTTAGACCTCTACAAGCCAACTCATGACAGTCTTGATTCATATCTACTTCCAACATATGACCAACTGTGGATGGTTTGAATAACTTAGTCATTCGGGAAGAATGGCCTAGTTTATTCTGGAAGTCAAAACATGCAAAATGAAACACAAGAATAATTGAATCTAGTATGGTCTCAAAACCTATGAATATAAATAAAACACCTTTTATTTATCACCATACTGATTACTCATTATTCGTTGTTTCAGTTTTATCAACTTAATACTTGAATTAAAAACACTAGTTGTCCCATGCTCCAAGCATGTACACTATGTTTTTCTAAACACTAGCCATGCCATACACCAAGTATGCATACTAAGTTTGTCTATGATCTTTACTTTGTGAACTAGATCGATTGAACATAATTTCAATGATTCTCTTTTCACACTCCCAAATCCTTATCGAAAATGTAAGAATTCCAAATTCCTATCATTTACTGAAATCTGTTAGATTTTAAACTTATATGCATGATCCTCTTGTAATGCTTATGCACAAAGTCACAAAGATTTGTCAACAGACATTACAGAGTATTCCAGTGGAGATCAACTCCATGGAAACATCCTTCTTGCATTAAGTTTTTCTAATCTTACACAAATTGAATAACTTCCATTTATGGAAACATTTCCATATTCCCATTTTGACTGTCACTTCTGAACAAGAGTTGCCTCTTTTCAGAATATGTCAAAATGGTCCTCTCCAAAATTTAACACTATACTTCCAACTGTCCCTGAGCAACCAATCTTTGATAAACCTTAGATTGTTCTCGACAATTGCTTAATCAGTTTAGTCATATCCAATTCTAGACTTTTCCCTCTTAATGCCCAGAGCATTTGGAAAATTTAGAAAGGATGAATATTATAGCACATGCAATCGATCCTATATCCGAAGCATATGGGACACGATTCATGATGTCTCACATAAAGACATGATACTAGACCAGTCTTTTTGCTATAATATTTTTATGTCTATTTGCCAAGTTCTCATAATTTAGATTATGAAAAGGAATGCCGTAATCATAATCGAATTTTAGAACGCAAATAGTGGACCCATATATAGAATTTCCTTATGTTGAGCCATTCCAACATAAAATTCATATATATAACCTTGACTAAAGACGATTAAAACCTCAATCTAAGCTTTTAGAATTGAAATGAAGTATAATTCCTCTCCCTTAATTATAGCAAAACAACTTTTCAACCCCTGAAACTTCACGAATTGAAATTTATGTTTTCTATAATTAACATTGCTAACTTGCAACATTTATCGTAATTATCATGCTCCCACTTACATGAAAATTATTAGCATAACACTTATGCTCCCACTAGCTTTGACATGTATCTAGAAATTAGCCGGACTTCTAGAAATCAATACTTAATTGACTTTCTTACCAAAGTTTAGATTTCTGATACGAGATTGCTTTGATAATACTTTATCAAAATCATACACCTTATCTTAGATAGCTCACAGGTGTGTCTAAACAGTTTCAGAACTATGAAAAGGGATGTCGTAATCAAAGTCTCAATTGTTTAGACCTTTACCCTTTCTCATAAGTCCATGATAGTGTGCAGGTTAACCACGCACGTTCTACTAATGAATTTGAGAATCTAAAGATTATAATTGCTATCTTACTTAAAATCTACTTGGTGGAAGTGTTTCCTCACCATAATTTTCATGAATCGGAGAAAAACCTTATGACACTTAGATTTTATGGTGTATGTGTTCTTACCCATGTGGATTTGTCAAAACCATAATCACGAGAGAAGGATAATGACAAATCCAAACTCATATGGACTGAACTCAATCTGAATTTCTTGCCACCTGGCAGCTCAAGGGCCTGCCATTGCTTCCAAGTTGTTATGCAACCAATTGAGAACTCTAAGAACTCATATGCAAAGCCAACTTTAACTGGAATGGGCACAAAAATAGAAATATGTCAACACGATAGGTTATAAATCTCACGTCGTGTGCTAGTGTTAAACTACAGGTTTTTATTCTTGATTAGACCTTAAAGCTTTCAGAATCTCTAAGACTCCCACTGTCCTCTTGACATATAAGACTATCTTGTCAAATATTCAAGAGATAGTGTGGATTCTTTATCAAGACAAACACTTCACACAATTGGCCTTAGTTGGTGTGACAACCCGAAACTTTTTCCGTTATCCTTACCCAGTTTCCGTTAATAAAATTTTGGGTTTTATTTAATTCCGTTAAATTCTCTAGTTTGGGAAGGACTTCACGTTTTTATTAAATCAATTCGGATTTATTTCCATTCACGTTAGTATTATTTTTTGGTCTAACGGAATATACTAAGCTCAGTTCAATCGAGTTTTGGATTCAAAAACGAGGTTCTCCAAGTCAAGCATAGCATCCGGGCCAAACACCCCTTTGAGAGGAGTTTACGGCCGCAAACTCAGTTTACGACCGTAAACTCTGTTTACGACCGTAAACCCTGTTCACGGCCGTAAACCCTCCACCCCAACCCTTTGCCGTAAACTCACCCCTATATAAGGGATAAGTGGCCTTCATTTCTCACTTTACACACTCCAGAAGCTTTCTCTCTACTCTCTCCCTCTCTGTACAAACTTCGAATTTTCTCAAGGATCCTCAAGAATGTAAGTGATTCTTCTCCTTGATTGTGTTTTTATCCTTATTCTAGTGATGAATCCATATCTCATATCCTAAATCTCATATTTTTCTAGATTTTCTCTCTCACCAAGAACACCAAGAACACACACTAGTTCTTGGTGGCTAAAATCCTCATTCCAAGCTTCCTAACAGTAAGTAACTACCATCTGTACTTGATATCTATTGGAAACCATTAATTTTCGCCTAAAAATCGACCTGAAACACATGAACTGAGTGTTTACGGCCGTACTCCCTTCAATGGCCGTAAACTCCATTTTTGGTCGATTATTGACCTTTAAACTCTTCCTTGAGCTAGACACGAGGCTTAGAACACTTCCAGAAGGCTAGAAAGGACATCGAAGCACCAAAACTCACACCTCTCACCAAGTGTTTACGGTCGTAATCTAATGGGCCGTAAACCCATAGGTCGTAAACCCATGGGCCGTAAACCCATGGACCGCAAACACTTGGGCCGTAAACATATGGGCCGTAAACCCTGTGGGGCCGCAAACCCTTGACTGTACACTCCTTTTGCGACCGCAAACTCCCCATTTTAATCACGTGTGATTCTAACACTTAGTTTCAAGTGTTTCCTAGTCCCTAAGGTGGTTTCCTTCCATAACCAATAGTGGTATGTCCTCATCTAATACATATATGTGTTACCATATGTTAATAGGATCCACTTGCGTACGAAACATCGGTTGACACTCGGCATTCACACCAACCTTACAACAGTGAGTTCATACCCCTACATTTTTACTTGTTTTTCAAACGTTTTCAGGGGGAATACAAGCCAAACA